CTAAACCCTAAACCTAAACCTAAACTAAACCCTAAAACCAGCAGCACCAGGCCCTCGAGAGCAGCAAAAAGCGCGAAGCCGGACTCGCCTCCGATGTGGAACGCCTGCAGCAGGTATCGAGACCCTTTATTTTAGGACTTTAGGGTTATTGGGTTTAGGGGTTTCGATACCCTTTAATTTAGGGTTTAGGGGTTTAAGGGTTTAGGACTTTAGGGGTTTAGGACTTAGGTATCGAGACCCTTTAAGGGTTCCTTTAAAGGGACCCTTAAAAGGGTTCCTTTAAAGGGACCCTTTAAGGGTTCCTTTAAAGGGATCCTTAAAAGGGATACCATAAGGGCTTTCAGGGTTTTAGAATGATGACAAAGAATGATGTTAGGACTTTAGGGTTATAGGGTTTAGCGGTTTTGGGGTCTAGGGGTTTAGGGGTTTAGGGGTTTAAGGGTTTAAGGGTTTAGGGGTTTGGGGTTTAGCACTTGAGGGGTTTAGGACTTTAGGGGTTTAGGGGTTTAGCGTTTTAGGGTTTTTTAGGGCTTGAGTACTTCATCACAGCACCCTTTGATTCTAGTGCAAGTACAGCAGTTTGTAATGGCACCCCATGGTTGATGTGAGTAGTATTTTGCGGTTTTTTGTTTTTGTTGCGGTTTGCCTTTCCAGTTATATGGTTGTTGTCAAAATGATGGTCCCTTTTGGGGTACCCTAAATGATAGGTGCCGTATTATACTAAGGACCCATAAAGGGACCATAATTTTGATATCCTGAATCCTGAACCCACACATGCACATGCCCAAACCCCATGAGCCCGTAAGGGTGTGTTTGGTGTCATCGGGTTTAGGGTGTAGGGTGTAGGGTTTAGGGTTTAGAGGTTTAGGGTTGTTTGGGCGATGTCCGGTTCGCATTCTTCCAAGGTGTCTATAAAGCTTACGGGGTCCTCTCTTTAACACTCGATTTCGAAGTCTGTGGGATCCGTGTTTCAACTTTTGGGTCATCGGGTGGACTCTAAACCCTTAACCCCTAAGGGTTTAGGGATTTAGGGTTTAGGGTCCCTAAACCCCTAAACCCTTTGCCATGGGCACCGGATTTTCCGTCTAAAGTCTCAACTAACACGATTTTTGTTATTGGGATTTTCGGATCGAGGCTTTCATGACAGGGATGTTGAAGGCGGATCACGTCATGAAACGTCATGAATCCCTACATACAGTGTTGGGGTTGATGGTTTTGGTTCTCTTCACGCGGGGTTTGGGCGTGCAAGATCTCTGCGTTGAATACGTTCGTTGATTAGATGTTTCGTGTACAAGATGCCGTCATACCCTACTCTCTAATTGAATCTTGATACCTGAACCCTAGGCCCTAAACCTTAGACCTTAAACCCTAAACCCTAAACCCAAACCCCTAACCTCTAACCCCTATAAACCCCTAAACCCTGGAACCTAAACCCTAAGCC